CCCCGGTCAGATGCGTGGCGCGATGGGAAGCACGAGGACAGTGAGGGAGAAACAAATAGATGGCAAGAGGAGAAGAGGCGCGAGGGGAGGAAAGAGGGGAGCAGAAAGTGGGGCGCTTATCAAGTGCTTGGGGCGAGCGGGGCAGCGAGGCAAAGGTGATACGAAGCAAAAGCAAGGTCTCCATAACTCAAGTGACGTGGTTCGTCCGCTATCAGCGCGTTATCAAAAGCACCACCGCCGCGTTGCGTGGCGGACCCGCAGCAGGGCGGGCTGAGTAGGGCGGGAGGAAGGGGGATGGGGGATGAAGCAGTTACGCCCACCCCTCTAAACTGCACCCTCAGCCCGATGATTCCCCCCCGGAAAATTAGCACGGCCGAGGGAAAGTAGTATAGCGAGTGGGGGGCACGGGGTAGAAGCACGTGGACTCGCGAATTATATCGCGTAAGAGAGCGAAACGAAGCGAGCCAAAAAGTTTCGCCATTCATAATTATTACTTGAAAATGGAAGGGAGAAGGAGGAGGAGAGGCCGCCGGCCGCCACCGAGGCCGACGAGACCGCCAAGGCCGCCCCAGAGAGAGAACGATACCGGGAATATAAAGTTATCGCCGGCCAGATCATTCTCTTTCCGGTGTCAGCGTGTACTATTACCTCCTTACCCCCGGTACAGGATCCCTAGGGACTAGGTACCGGGGGTACACAACCACTAGTCTTCACTTACCCCCGGTAAATAAACCCTAGGGGTAGAGTACCCCCTCCGAGGGGGGTAACATCTCCCTAGGGAATTTTTACCGGGGGTAACTGCGCACTAGTGTCTATGTACCCCCCGAGATTTTTCCCAGGGGGTAACTCTACCCTAGAATTCACGTACCCCCCGGTAAGCCAACTCTAGTAGTATGATACCCCCCTCGGTGAAAGGGGGGTCAACCTTCACCAGAAATATTTTACCCCCAGTACGAAACCACTAGTGACTGATTACCCTGCCTGTCCCTAGGGGGTAAATATTTTCTGGAAAAAAATTACCCCCGGTAAGAAAAAACTAGAAGAATCGTACCCCCAAGAAAAAGGCGGAGGTAGGATAACCCTAGGAAAAATTTACCCCCGGTAACAAATCCCTAGAAGAGTCATACCCCCCCAGGACAGGGGGGGTAAGATAACCCTAGAAT